CCCCAAGGATCTCCTGTACGGAGAGTTGACGCAGGGAAAACGTCCAATAAGCAAACCCCAGCTGCGGTACAAAGACATTTGCAAAAGTGACCTGAAAGTCATGGACGTCGATCGTGCCACGTGGGTAACACTGACTGCAGACCGATCAGCCTGGAGGCAGTCTGTTCAGAAAGGTCTCTCCAAGTCCGAGGAGACACTTGCCAAGCAATTGGAGGTAAAGAGACCGAGGAGAGCCGTAGCCAGGAAAACAGGCCAGATTTAGACTTCGTTTGTGCACAGAGTGGGATGGATTGCCATTCTCGGATTGGCCTCATCAGTCACACCAGACGCTGCATCGGAACTGACAACCAGAGCGCAACTCTAATATTCTCCCGAGGCTGAAGGATGCCTACTGTCATCAATTAATACTATTATTATAAAATATCTATTACTCTGTATCACTGTCCGAAGTATGAGGCCAGACGTTAGGGGGTTAGCCTCACCTGATTTTCACACATGAAGACACTTAGGGGTATATTAGTGTCATAGAAAGTCAAGATGGACCCAAGTGCCATGCGTTAAGACATATCGGCATTTATAGTGAACCTTGCAACACCCACACACACACACACTCCTGCAATTTTCATGAATTCAAGTTATTTAGCAGTTTCGGTGCCTAATAAAGTTGGAGAGAGAGAGAGAGAAGGACAGCGAGAAAGGAAGGGGAGACAGAGAGAGAGAGAGAGAGAGAGAGAGAGAGAGAGGGATGCTGGAAGAGAGGGTGGGAGAAAGGTGGTGAGGATGGGAGAGGATGCAGAGGAGGAGAAAGGGATATGACATTTGGAGAACGTGTTGGGAAGGAAGAAGAATGAAAAGAGGGGCGAAAAAGAGAGAGAGTAAGGGGTAGAGTGGTAGAGAGGGAGGAAGAGCTGAGATGAGGAGAGGGGGATGTCGGGGTAGGAAGGTTGAGAGGAAGAAGAGGAGAGGAGTGATGGAGAAGAAGGAGACTGGTGAGAGGAAGAGCAGTGGATGATATTATGAATGATGGTAGGGAGAAACATTGTGAGGGACAGAGGGATGGACGGGGAGATGGATAATAGAGTAGTGAGAGAGAGATTGATGAAGGTTAAGCCATTCAAGAAGTGGCTCGGGCATGAATAGCCGGTAAGTGGAAGATTTTTTAAGTAAATGTATACTGTGTGCTGAGGTCGCATTTAATCATCAGGCTGCTATCACGGCGAAGGATAATGCTTGACAGGATTTATGAGGGTGTCCAATTGTTAAGGCCTATTGGCCCATATGAGGTAGCTCCTATTTATAACCACCCAATCCCACTCATATACATGTCCAACCCACGTTTGAAACATTCGAGGGACCCCACCTCCACCACGTTACGGGGTAATTGGTTCCACAAATCAACAACCCCTGTTACCGAACCAGTATTTACCCAAGTCTTTCCTAAATCTTAACTTATCCAATTTATACCCGTTGTTTTGTGTTCTGTCTTGTGTTAATACCTTTAATACCCTATTAATATTCCCTTTGTTATGTCCATTCATCCACTCGTAAACCTCTATCAAGTCACCCCTAACTCATCGCCTTTTCAGTGAATGCAATTTAAGTTTTGTTAATTTTTCTTCATATGAAAGATTTCTAATTTGGGGAATTAACTTTGTCATCCTACGCTGGACACGTGCAAGTGAATTTATATCCATTCTATAGTACGGCGACCAAAACTGAACTGCATAATCTAAATGGGGCCCTAACACAGCAAGATATAGTTGAAGAACACCAGGTGTCTTGTTACTAATACATCGATTAATAAATCTCAGTGTCCTATTTGCCTTATAACAAACATTCATGCATTGACCCTTTAGTTTTAAATTCTTACTAATCATAACTCCTAGATCCCTTTCGCAGTCCGACTTCGCCATCTCAACACCATCTAGCGGGGAGCCGGTCGGCCGAGCGGACAGCACGCTGGACTTGTGATCCTGTGGTCCTGGGTTCGATCCCAGGCGCCGGCGAGAAACAATGGGCAGAGTTTCTTTCACCCTATGCCCCTGATACCTAGCAGTAAAATAGGTACCTGGGTGTTAGTCAGCTGTCACGGGCTGCTTCCTGGGGGTGGAGGCCTGGTCGAGGACCGGGCCGCGGGGGCACTAAAAAGCCCCAAAATCATCTCAAGATAACCTCAAGATAGCTCGTATCTTGTAACTCTATCATTATTACCTAACCTCAGAACTTTAAATTTATCAGCATTAAACTGCATCTGCCAATCTTTTGACCATTTAAAAATCCTATTTAGATAAACTTGAAGTGATAGTGAGTCTTCTTCCGTGTTAATTTCCCTACCGATTTGTGTATCATCGGCAAATTTGCTCCTCAAACCTGAATCTAAATCATTTATATATATTATAAACAACAGAGGTCCCAAGACAGAGCCTTGAGGCACTCCACTTACAACATTTTCCTACTCTGACTTAACCCCATTTATACTAACTCTCTGTTTCCTTTGGTATAGCCATGCCCTAATCCAACTTAATATAGCACCCCCAATACCATGAGTCTCTATCTTTTTGATCAGTTTTTCATGTGGCACTGTATCAAAAAGCTTTGCTAAAGTCAAGGTACACAACATTGCAAACCTTACCACTATTAACATCCTCAACTATGCTGAAATAAAAATATAGCAAATTTGTTAAACATAAACGGCCATTTGTAAAACCATGTTGTGACTCGTTTATTGATTTATGTTTTTCAATATGAAAACGAATGGTATTTGCAATTATCGATTCAAGTAACTTTCTCACAATAGACGTTAGGCTAATTGGCTGATAGTTTGATGCAAGTCATCTAACTCCTTTCTTAAAAACTGGTACTACATTAGGAACCTTCCACGACTCTGGCACTCTGCCTGACTCTAAGGATTTATTAAATATGGTAGACAGTGGCACGCAAAGCTCCTCTTTGCATTCTTTAAGCACCCTGGTAAAAACTTCAACCGGCCCTGGGGATTTGTTTGATTTGAGTTTTACTATTTGTTTAATAATATCATCCCTGGTAACTGTTAGACTAGTCAACTTGTCCTCGTCCCCACCCACATAGACCTGTTCGGCTGAAGGCATAGAGTTAAGTTCTTCTTTAGTAAATACAGAGACAAAATATCTGTTAAAAATACTACTCATCTCTTCGTCATTATCCGTTATCTGACCTGTCTCGGTTTTTAATGGACCTATCCTTTCCCTAACCTTTGTTCGATATAACTGAAAAACCCTTTAGGATTTGCCTTTGCTTGGCCTGCTATACGAACTTCATAGTTTCTTTTTGCTCTCCTTATCCCATTTTAACATTTCTAACCAGTTGTGCGAATTCTTGTACTAAATTGACTTCCCCATTCTTAATCCTTTTGTACCAAGCTCTTTTTCTACCTATAAGGTTTTTCAGATCCTTTGTAATCCATTTCGGGTCATTTGTATTTTTCTATTCAATTTGTAAAGTATACTACTTTCCTGTGCTTTACTTAGAATATTAGTAAATAAGTAATATATTGAATCCAAATCGAAATCCTCTTTTACATCACACATGTAAGCCTCTATCTTTATACCATGAGCCTCTCTCTTGTTAATTAGTCTTTCATGTGGCACTGTTTCAAAAGCTTTGCTAAAGTCAAGGTACACAACATCACAATCCTTACCACTATCAAAAAAGTTGAAAACTGGAAATTGGAAATTACATGGAAATTGTTTTGTAGTAGCTGAATCTAAAAACAACAGCCATCAACTTTGAAAGCTCAGTATACCTGTGTCAGTTCAACAGTTTATTCCTGAAGATGTCACAGTGCTGACTAAACTTCGAACAATAAAAATGGAAAGATTAAATGATCTGGTGTTTCTTCACTTTCCAGATGGTAGAGGATATTGGCGTTGAATGGAAAATAGACAGAATAAAAATAATATTAGTCATAATGCTGTTGTACAATGCTATAAATGTTCCAGCTGTAATGCTGGATACTTCGGATGTTCCAATCGGAACTTTAAGATAAGGATACTGGAGTACCGGGGAGTATCATTTAGGACTGGCTTTCCATTATCCAAACCAGCATTCTCAGAGATTAGAAATCATTGTAATTAGTGAATCATTCTCTGTTTGAAACCGATTTATAAATTTTAGACACATGTATGAGTGGTCAGTCGGATTTGAGAATAATGGAATCCTTACATATAAGGGAGCTGTGGTCTCTGCTAAATATTAATGGTTTAGCTGCTCAGTTATACTTTGTATTATACTGATTATAATTCTGAACTATACTGTGTATAATTCTGAATTATTCTGTGTATAATTCACATTTAGCATTTTGTTTTCATTTATAGTTCATGTAAACTTCTTTATTATTTGCTTTATTTTCCCCATGAGTTGTGTCTTTGATTCTCATTTCGAGTGTTGACATTTTCTGTTGTTATACTTGAATTAGGATACATATAATAACTTTTGGTGACTTGAACCTGTGTTGTGGGGATTCCCAGACAACTGCCTTAACCGATTCGGCCACGATTGTACAAAAGTCAACCAAACTGGAACTCTATGAATTCACTGGAGGTTATGGAGGCCTCTGAACTTGAGCCCGAACAGGGTTTTACAGTCGACCAGACCACACTAGCAGGTGTGTGTTAGAGTGTGATCTAGCACACACCATTCCATTCGAACGCCATTCGATCACGAATGGCGTTCACATTCTTTTGCGCCACATCAGATTGCAATGAAATCACATTGGCGTGACATATCAATGAAACGCATTTTGAGGCAAAATTATTTTCCTAACCCCGTTTTAGGGAGGCACTGGATCAGCCCTCCTAGGATACTCCCATAAAATCACCGTCAATCCTGCAAACGTTTAATGAGGATAGCCAAAGAATCTGTCCTAAAACCTCGAACAAGCAGACAGTTATATTCTGTTTTATGGATGTACATAAATCTTCTCACCCCGATTTCCACTAATACTAATTTCTCGCTCTTTGCAGCCAAAGAAAGAGCATACAAGGAGAGAACAACGAGGCTTGATTTAGACAGTGATGATGATGATCATGGTTCAGGTGAGGCACACATGTCAATGTTAACATTTATGTCGTAAGGTGCTACAGATTATCATGGCCAAGCTAAAGCTTATGTCTCTATTCCATTCAACTAGGCTCTAGGAGACTCGAACCGTGGATCCCACACACACGTGAGGGCCGAAACTCTATCGACGGTTCGAGTCCCCTAGAGCCCAGTTGAATGGAATGTTTATTTCCACGGAAGAGTGAATGACAATTCTTATATGTCGTCTCTAAGTTAGTGCTTGTGTAATAAGGTGCTGCAGGTTATCGTGACCTAGCTGAAGCTTCTGTGTCTATGTTACTGCGTGTGTAGTAAGGTGCTTCAGATCATCATGACCTAGCTGAAGCTTCTGTGTCTATATTGGTGCTTGTGTAGTAAGGTGCTCGGGAGATCCTGGCTTAAGTGAATCTTACGTCTCTCTGTCAGAGCCTGAGTAATAAGGTGCTTCGGATGATCATGGCCTTGTGGATTATTTTTATACCTAATATACTCTCAAATCTTCGACTACACAACCTGTATTATGTATACTTAATGTTACAAATTAAGCTAAAAGAGCTTAGCTGCTTATGTAAGAGTGGCGGTGTCCTCCACTGGTGTTTGACTGGTGTATGGGGAGTTTTTAGGGTCCTCAATATTGTAAACTGTTATCACACTTCTTTGAGGAATTAATGTACATCAATACCTTCAATTGAAAGGTTAAATAAAAACTGAAGAAGACTGCATGAACAGCTAGGCACTGTTAAGTGTAAGTTCTTAACCTAACCTGCCAAACTGTAGATTTAAATCATGCAAATTTATTTATTTACTAATTCTATTTCTTGATAATGTGATTTTATAATATAAATATTATTATTTCACTCTACTGACCAATGCAATTCTTAGTGGCTAATTTTACTAAGCATTTTGGTGCAATGGCCCATTATATAACCGAATATCCTGGAAATGTTAATAGCACATAATAAATGTTAAGAGCACTCATCTCAAGTAGAACATGTTACCACCAACCGCCCTTATTCGGCTAATATCAGAACTGCCTCTAGAAACTTGTGTAAGGAATTGTTTAGAACCTTGCATACCACATATGTTAGACCAATCCTGGTGTATGCAGCTCCAGCTTGGAGTCCATGTATAAGACAAAGCTATCCCTTGTCAAGTATAAGACTGATCTGGATAAGGTTTAAAGGTATGCCACTCTATTAGTCCAAGAACTAAGAGATATGAGATACAAGTCAAGGCTCTGTGAATTGCATCTCAAGTCGCTGGAAGGCAGAAGGGTTTGGGGAGACATGATCACCACATACAAAATTCCCAGGGGAATTGTCAGGGAAGATAAAAGCACATTATTTAGTATGGGTAGAGGCGATGAGTCATAATATTATGGCTAAAGTAAGTTGACCAGACCACACACTAGAAGACAATCGACTTGAGAATGTTCCAGGACGGACCGAAACGTCGTCGTCCCTTCACCTTCTAGTGTGTGGTCTTGTCAACTTTAGTATGGGTGGTACACGCAAAGTGTAGTTAATAAATGGAATGCATTTAGAAGTGATTTGTTGGAGGCTAACTCTATAAACAGTTTCAAATGAAGATGTGATAGAGCCCAATATGCTCAAGAACCTGTTCATCAGTAGATTCACAATTGAGAGCCGGGACCCAAGAGCCGAAGCTCAAATGACACAAACAAAGCTAAGCCAGTACAACTTTGGGGCCTGATTCGACAAAGAATTATAATGTCATATTCAACTTAATTTGAGTAATTAATTTGAATCGTAGCAGGTAATTGTTGTATTAGAAAGAAAGATAGAAAATAGCTGAAAACACAAACTGCAGATAAAGGACAATTATGATGGTGAAACATGGATTTCGGAGTACAATCTTTTCAGATGTGACAGGAAACACAGGCTACAGGGTGGGGGTCAGCCTGTACATCAAAGATACACTCATCTGCATTGAGCTGCTAAATACCACAAACGATATGGTGGAAGTTCTGGTAATCAAAATAGAGATCCTAAATGTATTGTCCTTGTATATAAGTTACGGGAGGCAAATCCTCAGCAGTTTAAAGACCAACTAATGAAAATAGAACACTGCTTAGAAAACCTCGCAAATCCAGCCCCTGACATCATCCTGCTTGTGGACTTCAACCTACAGCACCTGAAATAGAAGACCCCTAGCTAATACAGTTATATCCGAGAGAATTCCGGGAAGTAGCCTAAATGAACAGTCACATGCAAAATGACCTGCTACGGATGTGGGACAGATTTGCCTTAAACCAGCAAATAATAGAACCAACTAGAAAGGAGAACACACTGGATCTCATTTTCACTAATAAGGATGAAATTGATCAGAAACATAATGATCACAAATACCTATTATTCAGATCACAACCTAACTGAATTTCTAACAAGCATGGGAAATAGACCTGCACAACCAGTTCCGAATCCCAGTGGAGGAGAATTCAGCAAATTAAATTTTAATAATAAACATATAAACTGGGAGCAAATAAACCAAAACTTCCATACGATATGGAAAAGAGTTGAATGATATGATATGGAAAAATGATATTAATATAGAAAAGAGCAGCCTGCTTGCCGCGGCAAGATTTTTTTTATATTAACACATTTAGGTACATCTTCATTTGTGCAGCTACCCTAGACTATATGAAGGGAAATACAGTGTGTCAAAAAACTACCTACATGATGCTAAAAATCCCCATCACACAGGATGGTCAGCCATACAAAGGCATGTGATATGTAGTCTGCACTGGCAAACTCTGGGTGCATTATGAGGATATCATGAACACAAGAGTGAATAAGATAGCAGTGATACAGAGTCTCCATCTCGCAGGATGGTTAGTCATACAGGGCCATATGTTCAGTAGCCTGCACTGGCAAATTTTGGGTACAATATGAGGATATCCTCAAGAACTCGAGAGTGAATAAAGTAATTGCAAAGCTCTAGGTACCTCATGCTAACGGGTCTGGTCTGATAACTGGGCATTCGGTGATGTAGTGTGAGAGATTATGTCCCAGTTCCTACTTACATAGTTTGCATCTGGAGTGATCAGGATTGGGAGATCTGTCACCTGTTGCCACCTGCTACAGGTAACGGTAACCCAACCTGATCCTGGCAATCACTGTGTCGCACAGTCTGTTGGACGTTCTGTGCGGCCCATAAACATGGGTTTCAGATCTGAACAAATCATAGATCTTATACTGGCGCTTTCAGGTCGTTGGGAATCAGTAATTTCTTTCCTATCAGACCTGAGTGTTTGGAACAATATAATTTTGGCAGCAGAGATGAGGATACCTAGGTCTAATTCAACGTTATCTCTGTTACATGCTGATTTGGCTGCAATGTCTATTGTCATTATGATGAATTATATTTATGTGTAATGATATCCATACAAATGAGATTCAAAACCCTATATTCTGTGTTGCAATTAGGTCATTTATAATTGCTAGTAAGAGGTTCTTGCTGTCGATCTTCCTTGAGACGTTTTCGATTGCTTGAAGAGCAGACTTTGAATCACAAAACATTATTCCTCCTCCTATGTTTTTTAATGTTCTGGTAGCTAGTTGTAATGCCGCTAGTTCTGTTTGTGTGGCGGTCAGCCAGTTGTTTAACCTGACACTGATAGTATGTGTGAAAATATTATTTCTATAAAGCCTATATGCTGCTGCAGTCTGTCCATTAGATGATTGGACTGAGCCGTCGGTGTAGACACAGTACTCGTGAGATCTTAAATTTTCTATGGAGGAGGCAATTGTTTCAAGTGTCACAGCTTTAAGAAGTGCACGATTCTCATTACCTTTCTTGGTGACGGGTGAGCATGGAAGTGTGTGTACTTGACGCAGACCATAGGCCGAGATTCTCCTACACCTTGACTGAGGCTTCTTCCAGAATATTGTCCTGCTGGTGCAGAGAGAACACTTGTCTTTCCGCGGGAATTTGGGCTAGTGCTCGAGTAGAGGAGTACTCACCAGTCAATTTAATCCTATTTTTTATGTGTCAAGCCCCCTCACTCCTCCCATTTGGGGGTATCACGTGAGTCTATTCGTTAAAATACTTAACCAATTAAACAAACTTGGGACACAAATCCAAACCAACAATCAAATTATACAAATGAAATCTTTGTATCATTCAATACACAGTCAAACCTGTTTCCAAATAATAATTTACTGACAGCTGAACATTCATGTGTTTTTAAAACCTTTACACTACACAACAACTCTTAAGGCTAAACATAAAATTACGCTCTGTAAAATTAAAATAGTCTCATTTAGGGTATATATACCGAAAGGTGTAGACTGCTTCTTAGTGTCAATACAGAGATACTTTACTTTAAAACTGAATTGATACTGATAAAGGTTTATTCATAAGAATGTGAGTATAAAGAACATATGAGCAATGTACAATTTTATGGGATATGAGTTACACATACTAATGAAATCACTATTACGCAAATCGTTTCGGGAAAATAATATACAATAGAACAAATCCAAACCAACAAATAGAACAATATTTAACTAAACGTGTGAGGAGGAACAGAACTTAATACTAAGGGAGAAGTAAGCCAACAAGATGACAACATTTATGGAAAATAACAAAGGAGTGTAAAGAAGGTGATACTGAAGGATGACTCGCATAGACTATTACATTATGGAGTCAGTTGATGTGCAATAGTTTATTTACATTAATAACAGAATGGAAATACAACTGGATTCTTTCTCATAACATTTTCTTTGGAACATAACGTAGAGTTATACAGTAATTTTAGGTTAATGGGGTCAACACTAAAAATAAACATGGATCATACATAATATGAGTAAACACTTAACAAAGAAATACAAAAAATTAGATGACAATACATGTAGAGAGTACATAAATCTTAGCTAATTAATATATGAAAATTTAAGATAAAAGTAACACAAAATAGCTTATTACAAGGGAAAATGTGAGTGAAACTATTTACGTGGTAATGATTATGAGATAATAATTATTTTTTAAGTAAATATTTCTTAATCTCTCTTAAACTGGTTGGGAGACCTATAGCTTTTACTTACATTTGAGAGGTCATTCCATAAATTGGAACCCTTGATTTGCAATGATAAACTTGATAAACTCAATTTAGAACATCATAGAAGGTTAAAGATAAATACAGATTGCTGTTTTATTGATCCTGATAGCTAATAGGCTTAAAACCTATCCTAAACTAACCTAACTTTGCACATGCGTTGAAAGATTTATCGTATTCGAAACCCTATTGACCAGGTATTCCTAAGAGAAAACCGCTTGATACTGAATTGCTTCTAATATTTTGTTCATTACAAAGAATCAACAGTTATGACAGCAACCGTTCTTAAAACGAGCAGAAGAATATGCAAACAATCCACTGTTCACTCCTTGCTCTCGACTGCTTCAAAACATATTAGGTTCTTATCTAGGCACCTATTAGTTTGTAAGTTTGATCAACCTCTGTAAAGCTGTTGCTGTAAGAAAAACTAACAAACGTTTCATTATAATGGTATATTTTATGGTTATGGAAACAAGCATGTAAGAGCGTGTGATTGTTATCAACTACTAGCTAAACCCGGCCACGCGTTGCTGTGGCTCATCAACGCATGTGCGTTGATGAGCCACAGCAACCTTCCCTGTCCCTCATTCCTCCCCACCATTCCCCCCCTCCGTCGTCCCCTCGTTCTCTCAACCATTCCCCCATTCCCCAATCCCCTCATCTTTCCCACTATTCCCCCTCCCCGTCTCTTGTCCTCCCCACCATCCAACACTCCACCGTCCCCTCGTCCTCCCCCCCCTTTCCCACTCCTCCGTCCCCTCGTCTTCCCTGCCATTCCCCCATCCCCTGTCCCCCTCTTCCTCTCCACCAGCCCCCAATCCCCTGTCCGCTTGTCTACCCCACTGTTCTTCATTCCCCTGTCCCCTCGTCCCCTCGTCTTCCCCACCATTACCCCCTCCCCTGTTCCCATCAGAAAATTGGGAACATCAAACGATTAGATGTTCCAATCACTGAAAAATAAGAACAGATAAAAAATGAAATTAAAAACCATGAAAAAATAAGAATAAACTTTACCTACAAAATGAATGGTATGGTAAACATCACAGCTCAATTCCAAAGCAATGTCACACAAAAAATGTAAATAGAAATTAAAATAAATAAAAATCTATGAAAATTCAATTTATCAATGCAATCGGAAACACTGAAATGGAATCGTAACATATTTATTAAAGCGTGAGTTGCACTTACGTGCAACAGATAGTGCTGTTTAAAAAAAAGCATGGTTTTACCTGTCACAGGTGTGGCATCCATCCTTATACTCACGAAATGAACGGTATGGTAAACAACAAAGTTAAATTCCGAAGCAATGTTACAAATTAATTAAATCAAAATGAAAAAAAAATCGAAATCTATGACAATTCAATTTATTAATGCAATCGGAAACATTGAAATGGAGTTGTAACATATGTAATATAGTATGTGTTGCTCTTACGTGCAATAGATGGCGCTGTTTTTCCAAGAAAAGCATGTTTTTACCTGTCACAGGTGTGGCATCTATGTAGTAGGTATAGAAAAACACGCGCATTTTCGAATGGAACGGTGTGTCAAAATTTCAAAGCAATCGGTGAAGAACTTTCGGAGATTACAGCGTGTGTTGCTCTTACGTCCAACATATTGCACTGTTTTTTCAAGAAAAACATGATTTCTCCTGTCTCAGGTGAGGCATGTATAGAGTAGGTATATAAAAACATGCGTCTAATCGAATGCAACGTTGTGTCAACATTTCAAAGCAATCGGTAAAGATGTTTCGAAGATTTCCCTCACCTGAAAAACACATTTAAAAAAAAATATGTTTTTCTTACCGTCACAGACGTGACGTCTATATAGTACGTATATAAGAACCCGCTCGGATGTGCATGGAACGTTATGTGAAAATTTCAAAGCAATCGGGGAAGAACTTTCGGAGATTAGCAATTTTGAAAAAACGAAGATTTCCATTTTTATTTATATAGATTGTTGTTGTTGCAGGTGATGTCAACGACCAAGAAGCAGATGAAATCAAGAACATCTTCCCTTCGACCTCGGCATTTAATACGCCCTGCTCACCTGTACCAGAAAACTACTTGGTTATAAATTTGGAGGAAGGAAATCGTAAGTTTGTTATTCATGGTGAACTCTAAGATTGATATTGACCGTTGTGCAAAAACTCTCATATGACCTAAAGCATTGTTTGCACCCATGTGCCAAGGAAAAAGGGTGCATATGTCTATACATATATGAAAGGGTGCATATGTCTATGCATATATGAAAGGGTACATATGTCTATGAGTACATATGCCTATGCACCCATAAGTATATGGGTGCACTTCTCCAAACATTACGGAGCATATACATACTAGGGGTAGAATTGTACAATATCTAGACTGTTGTAACAAAAAAAATCACGTTTTGTACTATTCAAATACTGAAAAAAAGTAGAACGGAGTATCTGTAAGCCTAGTGTTACCTGTCTTATACCTACTCAAGTAATAATAACAAACATATATAATTTAGACCTAATTTTGTAAATAAATTTACTGTACAGGACGCTGGAAAAGTGAGCTTTAGTGAATATCTTCGTTATTGGCTCCTCTACAAAATTATTATTACAAAAAATTTGTTTTTTTTTGTGGTGCAACAGTCCATGTTTTGTACATGTATGCGTAGTGACTATACTCATAAAACTATATTTTGTGGTTGATAGGCTTGTTTATCGATGAGTCTGTTCTGTATACTCTTACCTCCAGTACGTCATCCTCAAAATACTGATCATGAAGTCATAAAGCGTTTATAAATACTAAATAGTGTTAGTCCTAATTTTGACATAAATTATCTGCAGTAATGAGATTTGTTCCATAAAAGACTGTGAAAACTTGAGAAAACCCCTTCTCCAATGACTAGCATCTGATTACTCTGGAAGCTTATCCCGGGATATCCTACACTTATCTGTAATCCATGTAAGTGGAGTCTAATACGCATCTGGTAGTGTAATTAGCTCTACAGGATAAGCAGTCACCTTAGCTCTGTAACACGCAGTATCAACAAAATGTATTTCCAAGAACATTACAAACTGGTCAGTAATTCGTGACCTGAAATTGTTAGATGGAAGAAGCTGTTGGCCGGAATGCAAATGTTGGAGACGACAGGAGAAGACCTGTGATGCTCTCCAGTTGATGTGTAGTTCCAACATTTATCACACCATGTTTGCATTGTATCTTTTCGGGGCCTGGATCACCAAATGATAATTAGCGTCAGGCTGTGGCAGGAGTAATTAGCTCTAAAGGGATATTCGGACCATTTGATCCTCACAACTCTTCTACGATTCATACAGACGACTAAATCAATTTTTAAGTACCTTAATGCCTTTTTCTTTTCTTATTACAATGTCATGCTGCATTTTATTTTCACTAAAGTATATTATGTGTAAGTTTGATGCAAATCGCCCCCCAAAAAAATAAAAAAAAATTAAAAAAAGAAAAAAGAAAAAAGAAACTTTTTTTTTTCTTAAATTTTTTTTCCAATTAAACTAATTATAATATTTGTTTAATATATGCTATTGTGATAGCAAAGAGTCGTAGTTATGATTTCAGTTGACACTTTTGATTGATAATCGATTTTGACCATTTTTGCATAATTTTCACAACTACTTCAATATTTTTTTTCTCCCTTCCTATTTATGCTACGATGCTGAAACTTGGACCAGATGAAACACTTTTCATATAGACCTTGTCAAAAAAGTTTGATTGAAATCGAATGAGTTTTCATTTTTGCATTTTTGGACCCAGATGCCAACCAGACGCCCCCTTAACTCTAATAAGATGGTATATCTATACTAATTCAAAAAACTGTCATTTTCATATCACATGATTATATCGACCAATAACAGCAAAGATTACAAGCCATTGTCGTTTATTGGTGGCTATCTTAGAATGAATATAGGCTTGCTCCTAATTGTTTTTTTCTTTAATATAAAACGACATATAAATACAATTAAAAGGCAAGACACCGAAGTACCATAACAGTGTCGAACACCACAGGATACATCACCAACAACAGAGCACCATATTAATAATAAACAATACACCAAACCAATACATGAGTATACAAACACCCATACGTAAATATACAAACACCAATACAAAAATATACAAACACCAATAAATAAGTATACAAACACCAGTACATAAATAAACAAACACCACTCTATCTACATAAATAAAAATGTAAATGTTCGTTGTTCAAAATCGCTAATCTCCGAAATTGCTTTGAAAAGAAAATTACCCAAGAAAGATAGCAGAAGAAAAATCTTCACTGATTGATTTAAAATTTTCACACAATGTTCCATTTGCATCCGAGCGGATTTTTATATACATACTATTTAGATGTCATGTCTATGACGGAAAAAAACATACTTCTTTTGAAAAACTGTGTTTTTCAAGTGTTTTTCATGTGAGGGAAATCTTCGAAACTTCTTTACTGATTGTCTTGAAATTTTGACACAACGTTGCATTCGAATAGGCGCGTGTTTTTATATACCTACTATAAAGATGCCACACCTGTGACAGGTAAAAACATTTTTTTTTTTTAGCAGTGCCATCTGTTGCACATAATAGCAACACACGCTATACTATATGTGTTACAAATCCATTTTAATGTTTCCAATTGCATTGATAAATTGAATTTTCATAGATTCCGATTTATTTTAACTTTGATTTCATTATTTTGTGTGGCATTGCGTTGGAATTGAGCTGTGGTGTTTAATATATCGTTCATTTTGTGAGTATAGTTTATTTATTTATTTTTTAATTTTTTTCATTTCATTTTTTTACAGTTTTTTTTTTTATATAAGTGACGGGAACAACAGATCACTTGATGTTCCCAAATTTTTTATGGGAACATCAGATTGTTTGGTAATGCATCGGACAAGAGAGGGGGGAAAGGTGGGGAGGACGAGGGGACGGGAGTGGGGGATGGTGGGGAGGACGAGGGGACATGGGAGAGAGAAATGGTTGGGAGGACGAGGGGATTGGTGAGGGGGGAGGAATGGAGGGGAGTACTGGGAGACTGGGAAAGGTTGCTGAGCCACAGCAATGCGTGGCCAGGTACAGCTAGTCTATATAAATATAAATGTAACAGTTCGTTTGTTCAAAATCTCTAACCTCAAAAAGTTTTTCACCGATTGCTTTGAAATTTTCACACAATGTTCCATTCACATCTGAGCTCGTTTTTATATACATACTATATAGATGTCACGTCTGTGGTATGAAAAAACATGCCTTTTTTGAAAAACAGCACCATTTGTTGGACGTAAGAGCAACACACGCTGTAATACCCAAATGTTCTTCACCAATTGCTCTGAAATTTTGACACAACATTCTATTCGAATACGCGTGTATTTTTATATACCTACTATATATATGCCTCACCTGAGACGGGTAAAAACATTTTTTTTAAACAGCACCATCTGTTGCATGTAAGAGCAACACACGCAATACTAAATATGCTACGATTCCATTTCAGTGTTTCCGATTGCATTGATAAATTGAATTCTCATAGATTCCGATTTATTTTCATTTTGATTTAAATATTTTGTGTGATATTGCGTTGGAATTGAGCTGTGTTGTTTACCATACTGTTCATTTTGTGAGTAAAGTCTATTTTTTTATTTTTTTTATTGTTTTTCATTCCGTTTTTTTAACTGTTCTACTTATTTTTCAGTGATGGGAACTTCAGATCATTTGATGTTCCCAAGTTTCTGATGGGAACATCAGATCATTTGGGAATGCATTGGACGAAGGAGTGGCAAATGGTGGGGAGGGCGAGGGGATGGAAGTGGGGGGATGGTGGGGAGGACGAGGGGGACAGAGGAGGGGGTAATAGGTGGGGACGAGGGGACAGGGGAATGGAGAATGGTGGGGAGGACAAGAGGATAGGGGAATGGGGAAGGAAGAGGGGACGGAGGAGTGGAGAATGGTGGGGAGGATGAGGGGACGATTTAGTGGGGAATTGGGGGGGGAGGACGAGGGGGACAAAAGAGGGTAATGGTGGGAAGGACGAGTGGACAGGGTAGTTGGGGATGGCGGAGACGAGGGGACTGGGGAATGGAGAATGGTAGGGAGGATAAGGGGACAGAGCAGTGGGGAAGGAAGAGGGGATGGGGGAGGGGGGAATGGTAGAGAGGATGAGGGGATGTGGGAGAAGAAGATGGTGGGGAGGATGAGGGGACGGTGGAGTAGAGAATGGAGGGGGAGGAGGAGGGGATGGTGGAGTGGGGGATGGTGAGGAAGACAAGGGAACGGGGGAGAGGGGAATGGTGGGGAGGACGAGGGGATGGGGGAATGGGGAATAGTTGGGAGGACGAGGGGACGGGTGAGTGGTGAATGGTTGTGAGAACGAGGGGACGGGGAATTGTGATGAGGACTGGGGGACAGGGGAAGGTTGTTGTTACTGAGCCAAAGCAACTCGTGGGCCAAGTATTACTAGTACATAAATATACAAACACCAGCGTAATACATGGACACGCTCCAGGGTACAACCTCGTGCACGCATAAAGGGAACATAATAACAAGGAAAGTCTGAATACACAAAAAAATAACAATATATACATGACGCTAATACCCGAACCAAGGGCACAGCGCAAAGACACTATGTGACGTTAGAATGTCTATGGGGTACGCAATGCAAACAGGACGGATATAGGGGTTCATAACAAGTCACACGATGCTCATAGGGCCCACTACCACCCAAAACGATAGGTATGAGATTCACTACTACCTGTATGATGGGTATGGGGGTCCACTACTGCCTAACGCTCACCAAACATTTTCACGTTTTCTAAACGTGCTAAAAACGACATTTCATTGTTTTGGGCACATTTTAAATTACGTATAAAGTACGTATTTTGAGGATTTCTAAAGACGAGTATAAAACGTGAGGTTAAAACGATTTAATAGAACGTGTTTTAAATGTCATGTTATAATGTTTTGGAGCAAAGGTTTTTAAAACGAAAATTCTAATTATTAATTATTGGATTAATTAGGTATATTTATTTTATTGCATTTATAATGATAGAGAGAGATAGAAGAGAGGAGAGAGGAGAAAAGAGAGAGGAG